CCGAGCAAAGTTCTTTCAGCCAACGCGACCAGAACGCAGAGGAAGAAGCGTCAAAAAAAAGTACCCATGCGATGACACCCTCTTGGACAAGATAGCAATGCCTGCTGGTCCTACTGAGCCTTGTATTCAGCTTTCATATTCCCACACCTACCCTACCATCACTGCATGAAAGCAGAACCAAAACCTGGAGGGTCAGGAGGCCTAGTAAGTAGCTTAATAAGCTCAATAACCCATATAGCAACCCTAGTTAGCTTCCTTATTATAACCTACTTACTAAGTCCCCCTAAACCCTAAAGCCCTATGTAACCCTATATAAGCAAGAACAGCTGCGGGCAGGTTCGGCTGAGCAACAGCTGGGGTAGAGAGCCTCCTCTGGCGAGATGAAATAGTCGCCCCTAGAAAGCGTAACTACCTCAGGCTGCTCGTGCTGTGGGTTTCCTTACTGCTTCTTAGTTGGAAAGAAGGGAAAAAGTTTGTGTTTGCACATATACATATAATGTGTAGGGATTATATCATATGGATGTTGTTCCCATATTCCCTGCGAAAACCAGGAAGCTGCACATGTTTTAGAATCAAGGGGGTTTAACATCTTTGGCAGCGGGGTGTTTAATGTAATAGGGATTCAGGAGAAGCACCGAGATGTTTGGCCTTCTGAACTGTTCTGGCTTTTCCAGAGTCTTGAGGTCTGGATTGAAGAAAGAGATCATACCTCTTTGGGCAGCCGGAAAACCCAGTCACAAAGCTTGGGCAGAGCAATCGCTCTTTGCCTTCAGGCTACTAATCATGGCCGGATGCTCCTAAACCCTAAATCCAGAAATAAGACAGGTAATACCCTGCTCCTCTGGCGGCTTTCTGCTGCTGCCACGGCGACGGCACAGGGGGTCAACGTCAACAACTCCTCCTCCTCCAATCTAATTGCCCATCCCCCTCCCAAACCTCACTCCTTAACTCAACCCTAGCCACGTGGCAAGCTCATGAGAACCTATTATATGACTTCTACAGGGCTCAGGGTTCCTAGTTAGAAGATTGGCTTACCAAATAAGCCATCTTACCCAAATAGCAATAACAGTAATCGTATCCACAAACACGGATTCGCTAAACCGTGTGTCCACAAACGTCTATCTCTTTCCCCTTAAACCCTCTTGGGTGACCTGAGGGATACTAAACTCTATGCCCTAAATCCTCCCTAAACCCTAAGCCACCCAGACGTTGGCTAGCTCTGAACTCCAAACCCACAGAGACTCACTGCTTGATAGTAGCGGCGAACAAGGGAATATAATACATAGCGGTTATATAGGATTTAGGCTTTAGGGTTAGCAGGGAATAAGGGAATTTGATATATAGGGATTACATAGGGTGTAGGGTTGGTAGGGGACAAGGGAAAAGACTATATAGGGGTCATATGGGGATTTCGGGATTTCGGGTTTAGGGTAAAGGGATTATATTCCCTTATTTTCCGTCTAAGCACCAGGAAGTAAACCCTGACAGAGTGGGCTGCTGCCAAACAGCGTAAAATCACATTTTTGCTGTTCAGCCAAGAACTGTTCTAGAACACGCTCATTCCAGGACGTACGCACCGACATCATATTGATGCTTGAGAACAAGTGTAAACCATAGATTTTGTGTACATATGACATTCTCAAAAGATCCAGAAGGAAAACAGAACAAATCATCCTATAGTTCAAGGAGGACTACATAGCCAGACCCAACAAAAACGAAACAAACACACACACACACAAAAGAACAACTCATGGGCCTCATGCTGAGAGATACTCTCTCTCTTGTTTTGTGTAGTTCGCGGTCAATAGGTCGATTACCTGGCCCGCACTTTTGCTTCCCAATGTCGTAGTTTAACGCACTCCCTGCTTCTGATGCTTCACACCTTAACCAAGTTATACTCCTGATCCGTAGTGCACACATGGCACTAACTCGGAATCATTTCTCATGGGGTCTCCTAGTCGTACCCAGTGAGGAGCTCCCTTCCGCAAGTCACTCAACAACAATTGAAACGAGAATTTACTTCGATTACGGATTACGTTTGAAGAAAGCAGATGTTAATGCTGGAGGAATACTCCAGTCCGTCCTTGTCCCCTATGAACAGGCAGTAGTCCAAATCAGAAAAAGGGAACCTGTATACTTGTGTACAAGACTAACACAAAAGCAAATACTTGATCACTACGTTAAGCCCCTTGAAATCAGTGAAACCATAAGTTCTTCGGCTAGAAAAGAATGTCAAAAAGACAAATAGCCAGCCCTTCCCTGTCCCTACAACAAATGGTTTTTCCAAAGCTGAGGATTGTAACCAAATAAGTACAAAACTGTCCCAGCAGCAAAAATTCATTCACTTAGTTAGGCCCCTTCATGTCAAGGAAAACCTTCGCTGTCTAGCTAGAAAAATGTCGAAATACTTCTAAGAACATAGCTTTCTCTTCTCCACAATAAAGATACAGGAGAAACCCACCTGATTTGGGAGCTGTGAATCTCCTGGCCTTGCATGCAATTCTTGTGATCTTCATAGAAGTGCAATGTGGGCTACAGTCTAAACTCCTAGTATTCTCCTTATAAGCCTCTATAATACTGCCCTGTATGGTAGTTTCCCAAAATAGGGGACCCAAATATACACCCCATTATACTAAATCCTTATTGCAGGGACCCCCAAAAAGGTACCCCTTGTTTTAGGAAGCCCCCATATAATCCCAGATATAGCTCCCTTCAAGGAGTTTAAACTACAGCTCATGTAGCCGATCGGAGCAGGAAGTCCCTCCGCTGCGTACTAAAAAAGCAGAAATGAGACTGGGTTGCTGTTAAGGACCTTAACTTAAGTTACCAGAATGGGTATATAGGGATTAGGGTTTAAGTTGCTAAAATGGGTATATGTAGTATATCATAGGTTTTCCCCAACACAGTGAATTAAACTAAATTCCTTAGCAGCAGGCATGATGAGACCCTTTGCGCAATGCTCCGGGCCGGGATGCTTCAGCCGCCCGCTCGGAGCCCTGCAGCTGCAAGATGTCGGCCACTTTACCTAGGTAGGGTGTAGGGCTTAGGGTACCTAGGTAGGGTTTAGGGTGCCTAGGTTGGGTTTTGGGTTTAGAGTATTTAGGTAGGGTTTAGGGTTTAGGGTACCTAGGTAGGGTGTAGGGTTTAGGGTACCTACGTAGGGTGTAGGGTGTAGGGTGCATAGGTAGGCTTTGGGGTTTAGGGTATCTAGATAGGGTGTAGGGTTTAGGGTACCTAGGTAGGTTTTAGGGCTTATAGGGTCCTAGGTAGGGCTTCAGGTTTAGGGCTATGAGAATGTGAGGGCTTTACCGCAATCTGTGGGTGTTGCTGTTGCCACAGGAATTACAGTAGGGTTTAGAGTTTTCCTGGATTGTCCCTCAAAATTAGTGATATAACCCCAACAAAGGACAATGAAATGGAACAGGGCATGGACAACCAAATGGAAACCAGGTTTATGCAGTGGTTTAAAGGGGACTAGTAGGCCCAATACGAAGGATAGTAGTACTTTGGGGCATTTGAGGGGGGATCCTTTGCAGGGCATCTACCATTTGGGGTTTACACCGGGGAATATGGGTGCCCCCTTGTAGGGATTCTATATGAGAAGCTTCCGTGCGGACTTCAGGTTCAAAGCTCACGGCGTTTCTTCCTTCCTGCCTGGCTTAGACCTAGCATGCGCGTGGTTACGCTCATTGGCAACCCTAAGCCCTAAACCCTTGTGTTCCATTTAGTTTGAGGTCAGATGAGGTAGGTCACTATAACCTTGTCCGGTTCTTGATATTTCCACTCAAGGTTCCGGGAAGGCACCCTTCCATAACGTAGCCGTGCACAGGACCAGCTGACAGGAGTTCCCCTAAAGGATCATGTGAGCTATAGTCTAAACTCCTAGTATCCCCCTTAATATCCCCTATAATACTCCCCAATATAATTCCCTATATAACCCCCCTTTAAGGAGTTGAGGTTATGGCTCATGTAACGGCTGTGTTGGTCATTTCTCAAACATTTGGTCTCATTACATATAAGAGTCAGAGTCCTTATTCCAAGGATCCCAGGCAAAAGGCTCATCGAGGGACGCAGGGGAGGGATTTCCCAAAGAAGGGGACTGGTCCCAGAAGGTGGGAACTCGGGAACTCGGAAGAATCCTAGTGAGGGCTTTGAGGGTTTCCAGGCTCAGGGTTTCGTTTGTAGGCACGCTGTCCTCCGGATGTTGCCTTGCAGAATTTGCGATGGTACTCCAAGGACTTTGCCGGACAGGTTTGCTTTGCTGATTGTGGGATCATATACTACAACCCACCACCGCGCCCCACCCCCCAATACGACAAGGGCCCAGTGAACCCTGATTAGGCTTCATTTGGAGTCTATTTGGGCATAGCGCGGACGGGGCGTTCAACTTCTTTTGGCCTGTCTGTGCAAGCCAGCCGAGTGATATAGGTAATTGGTGATAAGGGGATTTCAGTAACCGCAACCGGCAAAATAAGGATTCTAGAGCTTTCATACGACCATAAGAGGGCCATACTTGTAGGAGTTAGTCTAACACAAATCTCCTCATCAGTAGGGATGTACCATTGTCCTCAAGGAAGCACAGAGGCCAATAAAGACTTTCTACCAATAACAACCGGGCGCTGGCAACATGAATCCTAAAACCTAAATCCTAAACCCCAAGACCTGAAACCCAAGATCCCAAACCGGAAGGCCTAAATAATCCGAAAACCTCCCGAAGATAAATCCTAACCCCTTCAGCTGGGTGGATGGGCTTCGATGATGCAGAACAGCTGTTTTGCCAATGCTTCGTCATGTTTGGAGTCAGGCCTCGACTTTGCCAGCATCAACCGCTGGAGGAGCCTAGATACTTAGGTCTAGGGTTAAGGGGTATATTATCCCCAGGATCCAAGTCTATAAGCAATACCTGGTTTGTGCCATAAACTGATTTGTCAAATTTAGATCCCTAGGGTTGTACAGTAGCGATGTAAGATCATGTTAGCTAACCAGGATTCTTCGAGAATTCATCCAGCTGGGTTGGCCGAGTCATTCAGGATCGCTGGCATGGATGGGCTTCCCTCAACCTGCCACATCATGGATCCCCAGTCCAACATGCTGAAGCCTTGGGAATTCTCTGGATTGCGGGAGCCACAGTGGCAGGAGGTAATATCTCTCATCACCTGTCCCCAGGGCATGCAGTTCCTCATGAGCTTGTTGGCTGCTTCTTCGACCTGGCTCTGGACGGGATTCCGCTGCTGCTCCACAACTCGACTGTAGAGCAGTGCATCCGAGACCACGTCCAAAGTTGTCATGAAGGGCAGCGCTGCGAGAAACGACAGGAAGACGCCACCAAAAGACAGCAACATCTTGTCTCTTACATAGCGCGGGCTGTCTTCGTCGGTGAACTCCTCGTAAGACAAGACACGGGCAATAGCAAACCAGGCAATGACACAAGCACTTCCCACACCGGCCACTTGGAAAAGGAAAGTGGATGTATTGAGGATCTCTACCTCCTCTGCAAGCGATGCACCGCTTTCCTTTTCTGCCATGTGTTCAGCGCTTTCGAAGAAGTCGAAAGCTTGAAGACTCACGTCTTGCAGGGCATTGCCACTGAGGTGCGCCAGTGACTCTGCGTAGCAGTCCATGCAGCCAAACAAGCATGTGTGCAAAAGGTTGGCTATCGGATTGCCAGCATTTCTGCCTTCCTGGAGCCTACCCACCGTGGCGTGCAAGGGCCCTACCAGAATATGTAGCAGCCCTGCAAGGATCATGGTGCCGGAATGATAGCACAAGCAGCTGTGGAAGGCCTTCGGCACATTGCAGAAATGTGCTGATTTCTTCTTCTGCCGCGAGAAGTACCAGGCTTGCCCCACATAGAACATGACGAACCAGAAAATGGCTGTGATGGTCCCGAGGGCCCAAGTGTAGGAAAATAACAAAATAATCATGTACATCCAAAATTCTGGATGATTGTCCAGGGAAGGAATCCTAGGTTCCCCAGTAACCCCTTAATAATAAGGTTACCCTTTTTCCCACTATTCTGTTTGAATAAGGAGACCCCAAAATAAAAAGGGTAAAAGGGTACCACTGGGGTACCTAGAATCTGAGACCATTTAGAAACCCATGGGTCTTCAACTCCATTCAGCTCGTCCTGCATCTCGTAGCCGTAAAGGCAAAGGATTACATAAACGAGCCAGCCCGTGAGGGCAATGCGAAAAGCCAGGAGTAGCATCGGCAGCGTGGCAATGGAGGGGGTGGACAGGATACACCTGAGGGCATTGCAGTTTAACCCGAAACCCTAGCCCTTGATTCAAGAATTCGGGGCCGACATGGTAAGGAGAACAGCTCCTCTTGAAGAAGCGGATCGCAGGCATGAATTTCAGAGGGGCATACTAGTTTTGAGATATGTCTACCCGGAGGGTCCAGTACCCTTTAATTGAGGAACATGCGCCAAATGATACTAGGATCCCTACTATGACCAGAGGGTTTAGGGGTGGAGGGTTCTAGGGATAAGGGGTTTGAACTATCCTCATTACCTTCCTAGACTCGAAACCCTAAACCCTAAAACCCTACAACCTCAAAACCTAAATTCTAAACCCTGAGGTATTGGGCTGCCATACCCCGCCTGCAGGACATCTCCATGATGCGCCCAACAGATTCAAGCTTCGAGCTTAGGCCGCTCATGGTCCTTTGGTAGGGGGGACTAGGGTTTAGGGTTTAGGGAGGCTCAAAAGGTGGGATGAAAGTAGGTAGGTTAAAGGATCCCTCGTATATACGCGACTATATCGGGGCTGTGTTCCTATATGTCACCTTCAGTAACCCCACCCTGTGAGCCCTCGGATAATCTAAGATCTAGGGTTTAACCTAAACCCGGTTAAGGGGTTTGGGATTTAGAGGCTTCGGGTTGTCTGAAGTTAGTCAGAGGCAACGCGAAACCGCATTTTTAGGACTCCATAGACTAAGACAAGATAATTACTACACTCGTTCCCACATTAATCCATTCTGCCTAATAGAAAAGCATACACACCAAGATTAAACAACGAATGCATGGGCCTAAAACCTGAAGACTACTTTTAAAAGGGGAAGACTCCGCTTAAAAAGGGTAATGACTTTTTTCTTTTTTTTTTGGATGGGGGGGGTGGGTGGTGGGTGAGATCATTAGTGATTATAGTAAGGAACACAACGGAATTAGAGATCCCCTTGATATTCTCGGTTTCGTTTTTTCGTATACTTTCTATAAAAGAAATCAGTTTAAACCACTGAAGGCGAATCTAACTGGCTGATTTCATTTCCATTCTAGCCGTATACTTAATTTGATTGAGTAGTTTTTGACTGTATTTAATTAGATCTCAATGAATTCGATTTCAAGTAGATTTCAATTGGTTTGAATTAAGTCAAATCTAAATTCTTCAATTGGATTTTTCTTCGGCCTCTAGTAATTTTACTTGGATTTTTACTTCGTTTCAATGGATTTCAAATGGAATCTCAATTAGATTTAGGACCGATTTTATTCAAATTATTTAATGCCGATTTCAATGGTTTTTATTCGGGGTTAATACAATTTCGATAAATTTACCTGGATTTTAAAGTCGACTTCAATTGATGTCAGGTGAAATTCCACTTAAGTTTCAATTCATGTTGAATGGATGTAACTTCGATTTCAGTGGGTATTAACTGGATTCTAATGCCATCTCAATTAACTTCACTTGGAGTTCTATTCGATTAGAATTGATCCCAGATGGTCTTAGAATTGGGTTTCGATTGGTTGTGAGGAGATGTAAATTCGATGTCAATGGTTCTAGCTGAATTTTAATCCGATTTCAACTGATTTGGGATAGAATTTCAATTTGATTACAATTGATTTTGCATGGTTTCTAATTCGATGTCAATTGACTTTAGCTGAATTTAACTCGATTTCAATAATTAATGAAGTGAATTTACCTTTCTTTCTCGGTAAAGTTCAACAGAAAGGAGGGCTTTAAAAGTGCTTTTTGAGGCAGCCCTACCCGATGCTTTCAATAAATATCACCCCTAGTAGCAAATAACTTTTCGGGCCCCACATTATTTAATATCACGGGGGGGGAGAGGGGGGCGTCGTTTCATATTAGGGGAAACGATTATCAAGGCCCTAATATAGGGCTGCAAAACGCAAAGGTGGCCCTGCCTCAGAATGTAGATTGCGACTATGCCCAGAGTAACGCAGCGCAAAAAGTCCATTGGCTCTTCTTTTCCATGTCCTATCCACTCTCTGCAATGCCCCGACTTGAAGCAGGAGCCATAGAAGATGCTGGTTCCTGACGCAAAAAGCAGGATCCCAGCCAGCGAAAGCCAGATCAAGGTGCGAGCGTACTTTGAAAGTGAGATGAGGTAGAAGAAAGAAAACACTGCCGATGACGAAATAGCAACTGCTGGAATTAGTGGCCAAGCGCTGTAGAAGGCCAGAAGGAGGTAACTTGTCCACGGACCTTTGCTCACCGCCAACCAGAAGTCGTCAGCCAAGTCGTTGGCACTTTTTCTATGAGGCCTGCAGAAATATGCCATAGGCTGCGTGGGGTAATCTTGGATGGACTCCCAAGAGTCTACGTCGTTCCTTTGACCTTTGCCCATGAAACAGCGGCTAGAAGTGTTGAATGACTCTGGGCACCTGTCCACGCAGATCGGATACCTTTGCTCCAGTTTTAAAAGCTTGTCAGAGCCGTTGAAGATGTCCTGCGATTCGCGCGTCATGCAGAAATAAAGGAAATTTGCGCGCACATTCCTGCCTGTGCCACACAGATGCGCGGCGTGGTCGGGCAGCTTAAACATGGTCTCCGGCCTACCAATCTTCAAAGCCTTGTATGTGATCCAGGAACATATGCCCAGAAGCAGAAAGAAGGGAAAATTCCAAACAACATCGGTGCTCCGCCTTTGCACCGTGGAAGGAGTCATCCCCTTGTCCTTGGAGTCTTCTGGATTTGGTGGTGAAGTGGCTGTAGCAGCTCTCAACAGCATGATTTGCTCCTCATTCTGGCTGGATTCTGGTGCACGAGCAAATTGCCGCATGCTTCTTGGTGCCGCGGCCGAACAGCAAACCGCACAGTCTAAGACACCACATGCGTGCTGCAAGAACTGCGGCGAATGAATCTTCTGAGCAGAAAGGAACACAGTCAGTTGTGGTTGAGGGGCTGTGGGTTGAGATTGGTTACAGGACGGATGCAGAAACGCGATTGCTGTGTGTTGTCCTTTGACTCAAGTTCACGGCCTACAGCTACTTGTTAGGCTAGGCTCAACCGAAACCATGCTCTTACCGATGTAGCCTAGCACGGCCACCAGGGCGCGCCAAGCACAGCTTTCAACTTTACAAGCCAAGCACACCTTCGCGCAGTCTGTACAACGGCAAATAGCGAGCAATCAAAATCTCAACTGCTTCCGACCCAGCGATTTTCTCCTAGGATTATATAGGGGCTATAATCTAGGGGCATAATATGGGGTTGTACAGGGAGAACGGAAAAACATGGAAGCCACTATTTAGGGTTTAGGGTTTAGCTTCTTTAACTCAGGATTCGAGACAAGGTGCGCATGAAGTGCAGGTCTCGGTAGAGGCCGAAGGCTTCTGTGCGCCCATCGACAGCCAGTTCATGCCACCACTCCTAACCAAACCAACACGCAGCTCTCAGGGATCTAAACTAACTACCGCCTCCACCCTATGGAAATCGTGTTGCGGACTCTTGATAGTAAGGGCATGTCATATTGCCATGGTGGGCGGAGGTTGAGTGGCAATATCCCCATCTTAACATCCACTTCGGTAACCACGTCATCGACTCTATTCATCTGTTGTACTGAACTCTGAAACTTGGCTTTGGACCACGTTGTGGCGGTGAGCAAAGCTTTGAAGTTGACATGTCCCGGCTTACAGTTGCAAGGTATGAGCCACAGGTCAAAACCCAAAGGCTCCAGGTAGCTCTATGGTATATATTTGGGCCTTAAAGTAGTTATATGGGAACCCCTTTGGGCTCTAAGTATATACTATATAGCTACATGCTAGCATCATCACTAGTACCGCTCGGCTGTTGTCCTACCTGGTAACTAGCCAGATTCCCATGTGTTAAGAGTAGATGAGTGGTGATAACAGCAGCAGTAGCAACAGTAAGAGCATAACACTCATAATTTAGAAATGGCGTTTTATGTAGTGACTAAGCACAGATAGTTTTCGTCACGGCCATCGTAGTACCCAACGCTCAACACTCAACCCGAAGCCATAGCAGGCAGGGTTGAAGTAGGCGGTGGAAGCAGATTTTAGTAGTAGACGATGAACCAGAAGCGGGTTGATACCCTAAACCCTAGACAAGTCGTTTGGGAGAGTTCTCCGGGATTCTGAAAGAGGTCTGTATGGAGTTCTGGGGTTTAGGGTTTAGGGATAATATGCAGGAAATTGTGGGGAACAGGACCGGACTTTTGATTACCTACCAGATCAACAAAAGTCCATGGCAGAGTGGATTGCTGATGCCAAGCCCTAGTCTGACAAGCACGCTGACCATTTCCCTGGCCTGATACACAAGATCCCAGGAAAAGCGATTGATGACAGCAGTGAAGTACTCAGACTCCATGTACAAAGCTGCATCCACGCCTGCGCGACCAAGCTGATGAAGGATCAGCATGCAGGAATTTACAAAAAATGCATGCATCAGAGTCCAACTGTGAGAAGATCTGCTACACACCAGCAAACCGAGTCAGTCTTACCGCTACATCTGCCGATATTTCGCGGCTGCGACAGGTATGGATAGGTCCATCCCCTCAAAACCCCTACTTGGACCTGCCAGGTAACAAGCAAGCATGATTTCTCACATTTCGGCAGCAAGATGAGAGAAGTATAAAGCTTCAAGGCTTTGACGCAAATATCATGGTGCTGAATATGGATATAAAGGGCTGGTTTTAGGGTGTAAGGATATATGAGCTACTGTCTAAACTCCTAGTATCCCCCTTAATAACCCCTATAATAGTCCCCTATATAATCCCCTATATATTCCCCTTTAAGGAGTTTAGACTATGGCTCATATGGGGTCTGGAATTTAGGCATGGAGGAGAAGCACAAAGGAAAAGAAACTGGAACATGAAATGGAATCTTTGCTTAGATTTTGGGTTTAGGGTTTAGGGGCCTAGATAGGGATAACTACCAATATACCAATATGATGGCCCTAACTCCTTGTATAACTATGATACAGGGTACCTCAAACAGACCTTACAAGATGCAGGTGCTTGTTCAGACCTCTACATTCCCTGGTATAACCCCTATATGAACCAGTTCTCATTCATTTGTCCATCTTCTTGTCCATTTGCTTCTTGATGATTTGCAATTATTTCATTCTCCAGAATGTGGCAACTTCAGGCTCCCAAATGTGAAGGTTGAGTAGTGATAGTGGTGCCACCACCCAGAAAAGGCCACACTAGGGTTTAGGGTTTAGGGACACTAGGGGGCACCAATTGAGGGGTTTATATGCTCATCTTTCATACCGCGTCTCCCGTTGCTACTGGCTGGGAGCAGCATCCAAGGTAAAAGCACATAGGTCGGTATATAGCTCCCTTACGTAGATAGAATACGGCTTTGGGTATATTCTAATAAGATCCCCAAATACCCCGTATTCTATCTACTTAAGGAGGACTATAATCCCAATATACACCCTATTATAATACAGTAGTTTCCATTTGCTTTTCCATTATCCTTTCATAACCCCAATATGATACCCCTAAACCCTGAACCCTAAACCCCTAAAAACCCTAAACCCCAAACCCTATTCTGGAGATCTGCGGCCCTTCCTAACAAGTCCTAAACCCTAAACCCTGAACCCTAAACCTTAAACCATATACCCTGCGTCCTAAGACATGCTCCGCGAGGTACGTAGCATCGTCACACCCATTTCGAATAGCTCGGCCAAGTGCCTGTTTCTTCTCATTCTACAGGGGTTATATAAGGATAATGGAGTTTAGGGTTTAGGGTTAGGATAATGGAAAAGCAATGGAAACTACTGTTTAGGGTTTAGGGTTCAGGATTTCGGGTTTAGGGTTGGGAAAATGGAAAAGAAAATGGAAAGTACTATAACGGGGTATATATATAGGGTAAAATACGGATGATGGAAAAGAAAATAGAAACTACCATAATGGGTTATACTGTTTTGTCTCAGCTTCTGCACGCGCATCTCTGTTGGTGTTTAAGGTTCAGGATTTAGGGGTTAACACGGTTAACACTGCGGAGAAGGACTTTCATCACTACAGACTGATTTCTCCACTTTTCCGGGTGAGTACACGAATCTAGTCCCAACCAGAAACGTTAATCCTAGGCCCTAAGCCCGAGACCCGGATCCCAAGTCCGAGGTCCTATGCAGCCCGCTAAAGGCCCTTTGTCCCCAAGCCCTGGTCCTTAACGCTTGAAGCACAAAAGCTAGCCTGTCTGGCAAGATGTCTTTGCTCTTGTTTAAGGTTAATGTTGACCTCACATTAAGGACTACCCCTACATGTATAAGATCCCGCCGCCGGAACGCAATAACAAGCCCCACATTTACAAAACTGATTTTTTGGAGCAACGATTAAGTAAAACTAATGAACTCTAAATCGATTTGAGCTATAGTCTAAACTCCTAGTATCCCCCCTTAATAACCCCTATACTAGTCCCTTATATAGTCCCCTATATACCCCCCATTAAGGAGTTTAGACTATGGCTCATTTCAAACCTACAGCGTTGGCATAATTATGCTGGGCCTCCCCCAGAATAGAAATAGATAAATCCGGGGCAGGTTTATTAATGCGAAGCCAACATGATCAGAGTAATACGGGGAATGGAAAAGAACATGAAAACTTCCATGGCATTTAGGACTCAAGGTTTAGGGTTATCTGAGCTATAGCCTAAATTCCTAGCTTCCCCCTTGATAAGCCCCATAATGACCCCCTATATAATCCCCTCTGTAATCAGCCTCTCGTGAGGTTAGACTAGACCACCAGCTCGGTTGATGGACATGTGCTCCTTATTACGGACTATGTAGGGGACAATAGTACAGTACAAGAAGGACGCCCATGTCCCCTGCTAAAATTCCGCTATTCAGGCCAATATCGACAATGGCTCATGAGAGTGATATGAGCTATACTCCCCCTTGATAATCCCTGAAACACTCTCCTATATAATCCCCTAAATAACCCCCTTTAAGGAGTTTAGACTGTAGCTCATATGGGGCAACTTTAGAGCTTGGGCTGCAAGGACCAACCATCCTGAATCCCAGCAGGTTTAGGGCCCTAAACCCTAAACCTCCTTGGGGGAGGGAAAGGCGAGGGCGGGGAGGGAACTTTGTAAAAAGGGTCAGGAAGGGTCTATACTTTTTTTTGTGGAGTAGGTTGGGGATACATTAAGATCTCTATATATATATATAAATACAAGTGCTAATGTATATGTGTATATGTATATCTATATATATATATGTACCTACATGTAAATATGTATACATAGATATTTACATATAGATGTATACATGAGGTATCTACGGTTTAAACAAGCTACCCCGCCCCTAAACCCTAAACCCTTAGCCAAACCCTAAACCCCAAACTCTAAACCCTAAATCCTAAACACCAAACCCTAAAGTCTAAACAGGCAAGTTGCAGGCTTTGAGTCTCCTGGACAGTAGGCCTAGATAGATTCCAGTCCGGCAAGCCATACCTCAGCATGAGAGACTGGCTTGCTGTTAAGGGCCTCAGATCAATAGGGTTTAGGGTTACTAGGGGGGGGTAGGGGCCGTAAACCCTAAACCCTAAACGGTTTAGAGTCTAGGGTTGCTGGCGGGCGGGGGGATATATGGGGGCTATATTAAGGATATATTGGGATAATGGAAGAGAAAAAGGAAACTACTTTCAAGGAACTTGAATCAAGGTACTATGCTATTAACGGTTTAGGGTTGCTGCAATAAAAA